TGCAGGCAAATCGAAGAGTGATGTGGCTTTGCAGGCACATTCAGCAAAAGAAACCAAAGGCAAAGGAAAATATTTCGACAGAGGTAGAGGTGGCTACAACAAATCGAATGGTAGAGGAAACCAAATCGAAGGAAACATGTCGAATAAAAGAAGACCATACCAAGGCAACCAAAGAGGTGGTGTTACAAATAAAGGAAGAGGTGGTGGTCGAAAGCCTGATAAGAGTCATATTCAATGTTACAATTGTCAGAAGTATGGACACTATTCGAGTGATTGTCCAGAAAAACGAAAGAATCAAGAAAGTGATGCAAAGCTTGCAAAACATGAAGGAGAAGAGATGATGCTGATGGTCACAACAAGAGATGAAGATAGATTCAAGGACCAATGGTACTTGGATTCAGGATGTTCATCACATATGTCTGGAAGGAAATACTGGTTTGTCAATATAAAGCCCTCAATGAAAAATATGGTAAAATTTGCAAATGACAATACCCTAGAAGCTGAAGGTATCGGTGATGTTATGATTTTGTGGAAAGATGGAAAAAGGTCAGTAATCTCCAATGTGTTGTACATACCAGGAATGAAGAGCAATTTGCTCAATATAGGGCAGTTCATCGAAAAGAACTATAAAGTGTCAATCGAAGATAAGGTGATGAGAGTCGTTGGTTCAAATGGAAGATTAATCTTGAAGGCTCCTATGTCTCAGAATCGAAACTTCAAGATCGAACTAAATATGATGGAGCACGAGTGCCTTTCGATTGCAGCTAGCAGAGATCAATGGATATGGAATTATAGACAAGGCCATCTCAACTTCATAGACATTAGAGACTTGAAGAAAAAAATATGGTTTCAGGATTGTCTAAAATTGACATTCCAAACGAAGTATGTGAGGAATGTGTGCAGGCGAAGCATCACAAGAATAGCTTCAGCAAAGATGCAGGAAGCTGGTCGAAGACTAGTCTTGAAGTCATATACTCCGATGTATGTGGACCAATCCAAGTGGATTCGATGGGAGGTAACAAATACTTTGTTACATTCATAGATGATTTGAGTCGAAAGACGTGGACTTATCTGATCAAGAAGAAAAGTGAAGTGATCGAAGTATTTACCAAGAATAAGTCTATGGTCGAAAGACAAAGTGGTCGAAAGCTCAAAGTTTTGAGAACTGATGGTGGTGGAGAATATGTGTCGAAAGACTTCGACAGGCTATGTGAAAAGGAAGGGATTGTGCATGAGGTGGTGCCACCCTATACTCTATAACAAAACAGAATTGCAGAAAGGAAGAATCGAACCATCATGAATATGGTGAGAAGTATGTTGAAAGGCAAGAATTTACCTAAAGAGTTTTGGGATGAAGCTGTTTCGACTGCAACATACATTTTGAAGAGATGTACCACGAAGAAGCTATAAGGAATTACTCCAGAAGAATGTTGGTATGGTGTGAAGCCTAGCTTGAGTCATTTTAAGGTATTTGGATCTAATTCACATAGACATGTGCCATATCAGTTGAGAAGAAAACTTGATGACAAGTCAAGTCAAATGATTCTAGTTGGATATCATTCGATAGGAGGTTACAAGTTGTTCGATCCAAAGAACAATAAGATTGTGATAAGCAGGGACGTGATCATAGATGAGTTTAAATAATGGGATTGGACTAAAAATGTCAAGAAAGATTCAGTGGGAATCCTATTCGAAGAACCAGAAACTCAAATCGAAAGAGAAGTTCGACAAGAGGAACCAGCAGATATACCAAGTACAAGCAGACCTCAAAGGACAAGACGCATGGCTGCAAGATTGCAAGATTGTGTAATTACATCAGATGATTTAATAGATGATGAAGGTGAGCTGGTACATTATGCTTTCTATGCAGATATCGAACCTGTTAATGCAGCTGAAGCATTGAAAGATTCAAAGTGGGTGAAAGCAATGAATTAAGAAGTGAAGTCTATCAAAGACAACAATACTCGGTCACTTGTCGAATTGCCTCAAGGCAAGAAGGAAATTGATGTATAGTGGGTATACAAAGTGAAAACGAATTCGAAAAGGGAAGTAACTCGACACAAAGCAGGGCTCGTGGTGAAAGGATTTCTACAGAAAGAAGGAATAGACTTTGATGAAGTTTTTGCACCTGTTGCTAGGATCGAAACAATTAGGTTGGTTGTTGGTCTAGCAGAAATAAATAGTTGGCACATATGTCAGATGGACGTGAAGTGTGCATTCCTGAATGAACCCTTAGAAGAATAATTTTATGTTAAACAACCAGTTGGGTTTGTGAAACATGACGAAGAGAAAAAGGTGTACAGGCTATATAAAGACCTGTATGGATTGAAACAAGCTCCAAGGGCTTGGAGTAAGAAAATTGGTAGTTTCTTATGGGAGAAGGAATTTGTAAATTGCACAACTGAACGCATAATATATGTAAGAAGAAGCAATAGTGAATTTCTTATACTATGTCTCTATGTAGATGATTTATTGATAACAGGTAGCTGCAAGAGTGAGATCGAAGACTTCAAAGGTGATCTCAGCAAGGAATTCGAAATGTCTGACTTGGGTGAGATTTCATATTTCCTTGGAATCGAATTCTACAAGAGCAGTAGAGTTTTTATGATGCATCAAAGAAGATATGCATGAGAAATTATCAAGAGATTTGAGATGGAAGAATGCAACCCAACTTCGACACTTGCAGAACCAAGACTGCAACTATCGAAAGATGCAGATAAAGATGATGTTGATCCAACCCAATATAGAAGACTTATTGGATCATTAAGATATCTTTGTCATACACGGCCTAACTTAGCATACAATATAGGTATGGTAAGTAGATTCATGTAGAAGTCAAAGGTATCACATCTAGCAGCAGTGAAGAGGATACTAAGGTATCTCAAAGGAACTTTCGATTATGGTATTTTGTTTCCTGCAACTGATAAAGGAAAAGAATGCAAGTTAGTGGGATACACTGATTCAAGTTGGTGTAGTGATGTTGAAGATCGGAAATCAACAGTAGGATATGTGTTTATGCTAGGTGGTGCACCATTTGTTTGGAGTTCGAGAAAGGAACCAGTAATGGCATTATCATCATGCAAAGCATAATACATAGTTGCTTCTCTTTGTGCATGTCAAGCAACTTGGATGCTGAACTTGGTCGAAGATATAACAGGGAAAGATCATAGATCAATTACCATGAAGATAGAAAGCATGTCAGCTATTAATCTGGAAAAGAACCCAATAGCACATGGTCGAAGAAAGCACATCGAAATGAGGTTCCATTATCTTCGAGAGCAGGTAGCAGATGGGAAGATGAATTTGGAAAATTGCAGAATTGAGAATCAGATTGCAGACATCATGACAAAGGGAGTGCAAGTCGAAGTATTTAAAAGGCTAAGATCCATGATGAATATAGATAGTTTAGACACAATGAATTAGATGGTGTGTTAAATTGTAATTCATAGTGTCGAAAAGATTAAATTTGTTTAGATTTAAATAGATTTGATTTAAGTTTAGAATAAATTAGATTTGATTTAGTAACAAAATATATATTTTGGGCTTTGGGCTTAGGGTGCAAGCTCAGTTATAAATAGAGGGAGTAACCCCTATTTTTTTGTAAGCAAGTCAAGTAAGTCATTCACAGTATTTTGCAGTTGCAAAGTGAATAATAAAATTTTCACAATTTGTGAGCAGAGAGAAACTCCGCAGAAATTATTTGTCTTATCTTCATTCTTTGTTTGTCTCATAATTAAATTGTCATTGTGATAGAAATTCATCATAGACTTTGGTGAGTTTCCAACAGCTTTGACACTAACATTTAGTAAATTATATTTGAATCTAAATATTATGATTTTCATAGTGCTATGAATTTCTATATAAGAGTATTAAAACGTACCCAAATTCATGATGTCAATTCTTTTCGTGTTTAGAATGTATTTACAACACAACAGTTTATCTATTGATGCTTGAAACGGAAGTCTCGATTTCTATTATACAAAATACTTATAAGATTGTTGGAAATTTAATTCAAGTCAAACTGATCGAGGCTAAATCGTGAACAAAATCATTTTCTTTATAAGTATTTCAAGCACTCTCTTTATTATCTTAGAGTTGGAACGCAAGAATATCCAGGATAATTCAGTCTTTGAATCGAGTCTGCACAAGACTGGTGAAGAACTTGAATGCAAGAAAAAGTGTCTGAAATAATGAAGAGGATGTAAGATTTTGAGTGAATGATTTTCGAATTCAAAATTATGTATTTATAGGCCATGCATGTGTTGTTTCATAAGTTTGCAACTCTTGATGAAACAACACCTTTTCAGCAAATGTTTGCAATGGTTCACCTATAATAATACAATGCAACACTTCATGAGGTGTTGTGTATTTTGAATTCGAAATTCAAATTTTCAGTAGCCTGAGACAAATTTAACTGCAACTTTCACTGGTGGATGTTCAGTGTAAAAACTAACCAAAATTTTCTTTAGACAGATTTAAAGGTAAATTCCACTAGTGGATGTTTAGTACAAAAACTGACCAAAATTTCTTCATACAAATCAATTTTCACTTTTGTCTATGAGACACTTTTATCATTTTTAACTTTGTCATATTTGAACACACCCATGGACATTGATTGTCCATAATTTCCAACATCTTCTACTACAATTTCAAGAATAAGTTCAAATGTAGAATGAGAAAGAAGGTTCACTGTTTAAAGCAAGGAAATGTTTGACTATATGAAATATGAAAGGGGGTGGTTTAGTTGCATCGGTAAGACACAAATGTTGCATTGATAATGTAAGTCACAAAATCATAAGTTTGGTTATGTTCTGCTATGAAACAATAAATGAATAAAAGAGGAATTTCAAAGATCTGTTTTCTTTTTCTAATGCATTATTCTCTTCATTTGAGTAAAATGTAGAATGAGTATCATTACTAAGGGCAACAAAATTGTTAAAATAATTTAACATAATAAATTCAAATCAATCAAATGTTTAAAATACAAATTAATTAACAATATGAATTTGAAGATATCTCTTCCTCCGAACCTCACATCGTCAACCTATTATCTCCGATACAGTCCCCTTCGCTCTTCATCTCTCAGTTCCGAAATCCATCACCATCACACACTCCCTTCAGTTCTTAACTTCACGACGACCATTTGCAGCTCAACCCAGCCCCATACTCCTCCGTCTGGTCACTGTCAACACATCTTCATCATCGAACAATCCGCTGCTCCATCTGAATCCTTCCAATTCACCACTGAACCCACACTCCCTCCGCAGTAGCATCGATAATCTGTTCATCACTATTCCGAAGATACAACAACTCTATCCAGCCATCAAATTCAGTTCGGCTTCACTTTAATTCCCCCAACATTCAAGCAGTGGTAAACCTTCATGATCTCTCACTTTTTATTTTATTCAACTTCTGGTTTGGATTTATCAATGCGATTACATTTGTGTTGTTGATTTTGGTAAAGTTTTAGATGAGTTAAATGTTGATAGTGTTGAGTTTTGTTTGTGTAATTTAGGATAGAATTTTGAGATGATTATTTTGAGTTTGGGTTATGACTTTTGATTCTAACTTGAGGGGTGAGTTTGTTTTGTTGTTGAGTTGAGATTGACATTGTTTGTTGATTTAGTTGTTGATGTTATGCTTTGGTTTGTGATAAGTTTGCAAGTTTTCTTAATGTAAAATTGAGATGAAGACCGCATGCGATGACATGTTAATTATGCTCATTTGTGTTTAAATCGGTTATAGCATAGTTTTGTTGTTTAGTTGATGTTAAGCATGATTGAAATGAACTTATTGACCATTATCTCTATTGCATAGTTGCTGCCCATAATGGTTTGGTTGTGGAGTTTAAGTTTAATGTTGATTCATTTTGTTTGAATCGATTGGAAAGAGATTTGATTGACTTTTGTTAGAAAATTGGTTTTGAATTTGAAAGTTAGTTCGGGTGACATTACTTTGTTGTTTCCTTTTGCGTTAAATATGTTTGAGATTGATCTTTTCGAGCCTTGTTTCATATGCTTAGTTGTTGTCCAGATTTAATTTGTTTGCTTTTAACTGACTTTGAATTTGATTTTCCATGTTTCGATTATGAATTGAATTATAGATTGAGTTTCTTTGGTTTTCATTTCATTTGTGAATTGAAATCATTGAATAATCGATTGCTTAGTTCTTGAATTGTTCATGTGCATCATACACATTTCATTTTGATTTTATACCTTGTAATTACTAACTTTGTTTATTGATTTGTGCAAGCTTACAAGAGTTCTCAAAAACTTTTCTCCTCACAATTTCATTCCACTTCCGATTTCTATTTTATTCTATTAATTCTATATTATTTAATTGATGTTTGTTAATTAAAATGGATTAGTTTGCTAACCTATTTTTCTTAACTTCTTTTAATGTTTAACTAATTGATTCTCTCTTTATTTCATATTTCGTTTTTCTTTATCTTTTCACTTTGATCAATTAATTAAATGTTGATTTAGTTAGTTGACTTAGTTAATTAAAATGGATCAGTTTACTAATCCATTTTTCTTAATTCAATTAATTAAGTTAATAAACTCTTAATTAATTGATCAAACATTCACTTTCATATGTCATTTTGTTTCATTTAGCTCTGATACAGGTTTCTAATCCACGCAGACTTGATTCTTTTTTTCACATGAGATGTTTAGATTTATTTCTCTGCTATACTAGTTTTCATATGTTTGTTGGAGCCTTATCTGATACGGTGACTTTTATCCGATGCTTTACGCTTTATCTGATACCTTGAGCTTACACGATGTAATTTCCCAGCTTGTGATTTATTTTCATATTGATGATATTTCGATGCTTACCTCATACATTTGATTCCCGACTCTTTTCTTTGTTGGTGAAGTTTTCGTGAAGATCTTCGTGTTTCTTACGCTTTAATACGCTTTGCGACCGACTTTTGTTTGTTTGGCATTATTCTTATCCTGTTTTTATTCTGCATTGTCTTTTGAATTCCTTTCCATGAGAAGTAGGAATAGAGATGCATGAGCTGAAGACCTACCCCGGTAGGCATTGCGGATCTGTTTATTTTTCTCAAAGTAGGCAATTCTTTTTTGTAAAAGACCTCAAAAAGGGGAAATTTCTTTGTGTTTGCAAAAGACCTCAAAAAGGGGCAATTTCCTGTGTTTGTTTAAAGACCTCAAAGAAGGAATTTGTGTAAAGTCCTCAAAGAAGGAATTCCCTTCCCTTTTTACTTTGTACTTGCAATCGAGTCAATAAAAGTAGAAAGAGATCGCAATCAACCCCCACATTTCAAGTCCATTGGTCATTCTTAGTTTGCGTTGTACGTTGATGCTTTGAATTGTTCTCCTCTTGTCATTTGAGTAGATAAAAGTGGAAAGTGTTCGTAATCAACCCCCATACATTGTCATCACTTCGACGATACTTAGCTCACGTTTTTTAACGTTGATGCTTTGAGTTATTACTCGATTAACACTTGAGCTATTCTAGTGGAAGAAGGGGTAATTTGACTCGTCTACCTTGATTTCATGTACAAATAGCTCATGTTTCATGCTTGTTAGCATCCTTGTTTGTGTTTACTTCCTTGCACTTTTGCTTGTTCTTTAGGTTCACCTTTGCATGTTCCCTTAGGATCACTTGTTTCGTTTTCGATTCAAGGTAGATATTAGGTTTGTAAATCATGTATGCTAACTTAGGTAGATATTCCCTTTTGTACCCAAACTTTAGGACCACCATTGCATGATAATATTAAGATTATTAGTCTCCCTTAGACTTTTTCACCCCCCCTTTGACATCATTAAAACAAAAACTTGTTTTCTTAAGAAAACTTAAAAAAACTTAATAATTGAAGATGCGAATCGTATGCAGTTGAGTCTTGTAGGGGTAGAGCGAACCGATCCAGACTGAATCTTGCTCTTCTTTCACTTTCGAACTTTATTACGATTCAAATCACAAACCTTTTTGCAAATAAGCGGAGAAGTAGTGAGTGTCTCTCCCGTGCAATCCATTTGCTACCATCCCACCAAAAACACCAACCAATTCAAACTCTTTTGCTTTTGGGCTTTTCTTTGAAAACCTTTTTCTAAAAGGATGTGTTATTTCCTCTCCAGGCAAAGCGACGCGTAGTTCCTCAAAGGTCAGGTGACACTATGTCAACTGCTGAAGTGTGAATGTAATACTATCCACTTAAAGAATGAAAACTAACCAGCATTTTCAAGGAGAACTACGAGTGCCCTGATTCTCTACTGCACGAAAGATGATACATAGATATTAAAGGTTCGCAACCACGACAAGCACGACTAATAAAACATTTATCTTTGTATATACACTTTGCATACATGCATTTTCCCTTAGCTTGATTAGCTTTAGATATGAACACACCCTTTGATTAGAACAACAAGAGTGGATCCCGTGGAGTACCACAGACGTGAGGGGTGCTAATACCTTTCTCTTACATAATCGACTCTCGTACCCGATCTCTCAGTCGCAAGATCGTGATTTCTCCTTTCAGATTTTTTCCCGATGATTTTCTTTTCCCTTTCGTGGGATAAATAAATATTTGATGATGACTTCATTGATTTTTTCTCAATGATTTTTCCAGTTGCTTCAATAATATAACTCAATGTACAACCATTTGTATAAATAATATAAATACAATATTCATAATCGCTTCAAATTTTAAGGTTATATATATATATATATATATATATATATATATATATATATATATATATATATATATATATATATATATATATATATATATATATATATATATATATATATATATATATATATATATATATATATATATATATATATATAACTTCAATACGATTGTAAATATAAAGTTCTATTAAGGAAAAGAGAAAGGATTATAAGAAACAACAAGGTGATATAAACAAACTTTCATAATATTTGATTTTCATATTATTTAATTAAAACTAAATTAAAAATTAAGGATTTGGGATTCAAAAACAAATAATTTTTACGGGAGAACGGAGAAATAAATGTTAAATAAATATTAAATTTCAAATTCAACGTCTTCATCCCCGTTAATATAAAAAATTTCAAGTCATCCCATTAATATAAAAAATTGCAAGAAAAGATTTTAGATTCAAAAATAAATAATTATTATTTCAACCGTTAATCGATCCAAGACTACCTCTCATGTTCTCTAAAGTTATCTCAGTAAACACCTACAAAAGAAGAAAGTAAATCAAAAGTTGGAATACATGAATTTATAGCATACACAAATAGATTATTAGAAGAATAACATAAATAATTTCAGGATTGTAAATAAATCAATTTTTAAAAGAATAAATTTTCCCCCAGAAATCTTATCTTGGGAACTGAAATTTGATTATCGGGATAAAAAAGATTAAAAAAACCCATAAATTCACTTAAGAATAAAATAAAATCTTACCTTTTCAAAAAAAAAATCCCAAATGATTGTAATATCGATTAAAAAATCGATAGAAAAATAACGAAATTGAAGAGGGACGGTAGAAGAGAGAGACAATATTTAAGATTAATGAAAAGGAAATAAAATTGAATTTGAAATCAGTGACAAAATAACTGATTCTTACATTAAAAGATTCACTTTCTTAAAACTATGATTGTTATGAATACGTGAAACTCATTTTCCATGTAAGATAAAAATCAAAACTGAAAACCCATCACTGATAATATTTGGATGAACATATGAACCAAACAACAAAGAAATAGAATGATATTACAAATCGGGGAAGATTGAATGAACACTAAAGCGGTGAAAAATATAAAAAACTTTTTTTCCTGAGGATGTGAAATTTTTTTGCAGAGGATCTGGAGAGTTTTACGGAGGATGTGAAGAGCCAGCGAATAGAAGACAAAGATGAAGGAAATCAAATGGTTAGGGTCGAAATAAATAAACTGAAAAATGAAGGAAAATATTAGAATGGTTAGGGTCGATTAATAAATTAGAATTTTAAGATAATGAATGCTTATATGTTATAATTACATTTAGGGGCATGAAAAACATTATCTAAACTGTTTTAGTTAGACTAATGAGATAATTTTGGTAGTAATTACTTTTTATATGTTGAAAATAGATTTTCATTATTTGAGAAAAAAAAATTTATTTTTAAATGTCAAAATTTCTTTTTTTTTTTTCACGGCCACAACTATTTTATTTTAATTAACAATTGTATTTATTTAAACACAACATTCTTATTTTTTAAATATCAAAATTTCTATTTTTTCACAAACGACTATTATCAAATGTCAAAATTCTTAT